AAAGTTTAAAAAAATAATGAGGTTGAAGAAATTGAGAATGAGAACTTAAGACAAGGCAGCAACTCAGAAGAAGGAAAAAAAGCTGCTTAGAACACCTAACAAAAGAAGCAAATAAGAACGTATGTCTGTTTCTTTAAATTTTCTCACTGTTTTGTGATTTCAAGAATTTTGTACTGTTTGTCACATGACATTTCCAATTTGCCTTAATGGATCTTTTTTTTTTTTCCCCACTAGCTTTACTCTGCTAGGTAAGCCAGTTATAATTGTACATGTAGAAATAATATTTATATATGTTGCATTATAATGTATTGCAATTCTAATTACTTCTACTCCTAAAAAACACAAAAGATCAGCACTCAATTAGGAAATGTTGAGTTCACCTGTTGGTTTTTTTTTTTCCTGGTCTTGCGACTACATTAATTTTTGATTCTTACTGCGTCTGAAATAAATTACCTGTCTTCTACCTGGAGATGTCAAGACGTGTCAAGATCTTTCGCTGTTCCACCTCCAGTGAAAGGCTGTCAAGGTAAAAACACTACATGTCATTCTAGCTTCCCACGCTCCATCCAATTTTAATTTATTCTTAAATTTCTATACTACCTTGTGAGCACTTTATTTTTTTTTCAAGTAAATGTTTATAATCCATTCCTCCTTCAAAAATAAAAAGGATAAGGCAAAATAAAGAAATGTTGCACTTTTAAGACTAGTATTTGTAACTATTTCAGGCAGAAGTTAAAGTGAAAATGAGAAATGTCAAATAGAATCAGACTATGAGTTGATGTCAGAGAAAATTTTTCCAGTGCCAGGAATGGAAGAATGGGTTCCATCAATTCATGTCCCAGCTGCTGGACAGATCATCCTCTTTTCAAATTAGATAATTTTCACTTTACTAGTCAGATATGTCTTCAAAAAGCCAACATCCTGTAATCCCCAAATGAGCATAATTTCCCTCCTTTGCGTTTTAGAGGAAAGTTATTTGCATATTATTGTGTAAGCATAATTATTTCCTCCATTTTCAGTCTGTCAGAAATACACAGGTTATTTAAATAAGCAAATGTAGAAGAAAATTACTGCAATGTGAATATGTCCTTATTTCAGTAATTTTTATATTCATTTACTTCTAGTTTTATGAGATATTTTGAGGTAGCTACAGAGATTCTAAACTCTTTCCATTGACTATATACAAAACCATATATTTAAAAACCTGCAAAGATCAAACAATTGCTACGCTAGTTAAGTTAGCTGTAGGAAAACCACCAGCCCTGAAGTTGATTTCCTGCTTGAAAAACCCTAAGCTAATTGCAGCACAAAAGCTGTGCTTTAAGAGGTCCTCCCACTTACACCAGTTACAGCATTAACGTGCATCTGATGCACAACTGCTTGCACATCTCTTGCATGTTCTGTGAAGATCATATTCTGGTTCTTGTATGTTGCTCGTACTGCTGGATGGGATGATATATCACGAAGCAGAGAAAGCTCCATACTTTAGTGTTAAAATTTTCAGTTTCAATTGCTCCAGAGAGCGTGCATTTGGGTAAAGAGTAGGCAGCTGCTTTTTTTTTTTTTCTTCTTCAGTCAACTGTCATCTTTACCAAGTCACTTTCCACCTGATGATTTCTGAAAAGTTAAAATCCTTCCCACTCTCTTCAGGTTAGTTACCAAGATTCACACACGTGGTTCCAGGACAATTCTTTTATGTGACTGACAACGAAAAGCAATGTGAAGCGAGCAACAGGTAACTTATGATATTTAGCAGAATTTATTTATTGTTTATTTATTGTTTGGGTTGACTCACTATTTATTCATTTTCAAAGTCAAGACGATGGTTTAATTTGGACATCAAATACACCGTTTTTTCTTTTTTCCATAATCAAAGAGGTGAAGATTAATTGAAGCAAATAACTCAGACTTTAAAAGCTAAAGAAATACAGTCCCAGAAACTTGCTTTGTTATCTTAGGCAATGAAGCGTTCAGAGCTGCTAGGTCTGACGCTGATGAGAATTTTATTTCCAAAATATGATAGGATGCCCTTAAACACAGATGATATCCTCATTATGGGTCTCTGAATCTTACCATCCTCAGGAATTTTTCTTCATGTCAGAGCAGAAAGTCAGTTGTTTTGCTTTTCTAGCTGCCTTCATCTTCTCTTTGTGTCTCGGCAGCTTTTCTGTTTGTGAAGGCCTGAGCATTAGATGCTGTAGGGATGCAGCTCACAGCTTGCTGCCTCTGAGTTCCTATCCTTAGACACTTTATGTTCTGCCCCTCAAAATACAACTCCACAGTGAAGAACAAGACAGCTTCAAAACAGAGCCAGGGCAGAAAGAGAAGGTGCACACTAAAAAGGGACTATGGGGCTTCAGGTTGCCCTTGAGATCTTTCTCAGCACCTAACCATTAGCACAGTCACAATGCTACAGCTCAGCTTCTACAGCTAAGATCTGGGCTGGTAGATTAAACAGATTTAGTATAGCTAACTAGAAGAGTATTTAATAATTACAGAAAGGGGCTATGAGTTTTTCTGAGCTCTTTGAATCTAAATGCTCAAAATAGCTCAGACCTGATGCACAGCAGGAGTCAGTGCAAAGAATAGTTGATGTCATCGCTAACGGGCACCCACAGAGATCTACTTTTGCAAATCAAGTATACAGGAAGCTGAAATATCCAGAGTGACTGGCACTTTGGGAAGCATGTTAGTTTAAATTAAGCAAGATTAATTTTTTTTAATGAATATTTGAAGATTTAAATATTGTATAGCAACAGTGGTGGATAGGAGGTTTTATATAGAGGACTGATTCGTTGGCTATATGGCAAATTTTAAAAGGATAAATGTATTTATGTTCTCAGCCACCATATAAGCATAAATATTGAGGAGAGAGAGATAAGAGAATGCACAGACCAAGTTTAACTGCAAATAAATACAGCACAGTAATTATGACAGTGGTTTTTATTGTTTTATGCCTGTAAAGTACATGCCTATATTTTTTTCAGTGCATTAGAAAGAAATTTTAGTATTACAATTCAATGCACATGCATTTACATTAAGTATACAGATGAACAGGCTTTCTAAGCAGTGTGCATTAATGACAAAAGTACAATCTTCCATGATTTCCCATAGTGCAATCCAGGCCACCTAAAAATGAGCATCAATTTAACTTCTGGCACAGACAGTCTGAATAACCCCTTAGAAGTGCCTTCCTCAGTCATTGGTTGTAGAGCATCAATTTTGTCTTCCAAACTAGAGTCTTAAAACTGAGAATGAGAATATAATTCTGCTAAATAAAACCTATACTGCACAGCTACAAAGAGGAAAATCCCCTACCCTGAGCACAAGAAGTCAGAGCACTTAAAACATTTTGATGGTCTGTATACTGATTTACACAAAGTTAGCCATTTCCAGTACAGCTCCAATTATTCTTTATTAAATTGGTTTAGCCTTACAGAATTTAAAAAAAAAAACCAACATATTTTTGCAAGTATTTTTGTATCACCATCACTACATGTATACCTATGGTAGTGAGGAGATGTAGTTTTATGTATTTTTGAGATGGGACATAGTTTTACATAGATTTTTCCAACAGCAATGCCTCCTGTTTATTTCCTTGGAAACTACAACACATACAATGAGCACAATGCCACTATTTGATATGGAAAACTCCCACTACAAAACACTACTTTTCAATGTAGTTACCACGATTAGGTATGCCTTTATTCCAGCGATGAACAAGAGCCTGCATGCCACACTCAGAAATCCATACCAGTGGAAGTGACCCATTGTTTCACAGCTGCTATTATGGCAACCATCTTTACTAGGAAAATATTGCCCACACAGTCCATCTTTCAACAGTCTGAATAGATAGAAGACAGAAGGCATCGAATCTGGACTTACGATGGATGTAGGTAGGACAGTCCAGCCAAGACTGGCAAAGTGCTCTTGGAGCACTTTGGTCTTCAAATCACTATGAGGCCTGGTGTTATCACATTACTATGAATTTTGATGTATAGGCATTGTTTCTCTGCACAGAACATTATTTTTTCTGTTCATGTTGCCTAATGGGAAAATGAGACCCTAGGAACAGGGTTCAGGTTGAGATGGAATTTCCACCCAGTAGTATTTCTCCAAAGCTGCTATCAGGCTTTGAATCTCTCCTTTTCTACTGTAATAGAATCCCACACTCAGCCAGAAGATACTAATGATTTTAGTTGCCTCTAGTACTGCTTATGACTAAGTGCAAAACATTCTGTTCTACTTTACTACTCTCCACCCTGCTGAACCACAAGTCTAACAAGATAACCAAGCCTTTTCTTTCTCAGAGCTTCTTCACAGTGGAGCTAATTATATACAAAGGCATAAACACTTCCTTCAAGAGGTAGCAATAAAGAAATCATGTTCTCTAGTGTGCTCAGGAGCTGTAACTGCTATACAAGTGTCTAAGCAGGAAGCGAGTTCTTCCAAATAATTTTACAGTCTGAGGCCTGGAAGAGCAGAAGATGACAAACTTCAAAAAATCTCAATACGTTCTAATACTTTTTAATGTTACACATGCACAATGTCACCCAGTGGTGCCAGAGTAGGCAAGACTTCTCTAAGAAATACACTCATTTCCAGTCACATCCAAGAAATTTCCAGTACAAGAGCTCCTGTTCTACAAGCTCTTCACCAAGAAGAAAGCTCACCTGCCTTTTTTTTTTTTTTTTTTTTTTTTTTTTTAAGTTAAAGATTGATCATTCTTTGACAATACAGTGCAACTTCAGTTTTGCCCCACAGACTGTTCTCCTGTGAGTTTGCCTGTGAGCTTGGAAAGTTTTTTCTGGTGTTTCTTGACCCTACATGCATTGTATCAAGTATAAAGGGTAAGAGCTTCTACTGAGCTTCAGTTTTTTAGCTTTAGTTATTGACCTAATTCATGTAACTACTCTTGGGCATTTTAGTGTGCCAATATAGTAAATATATCTTTTCTTTTTTTTTTTTTCCAAATTTATTTTTTTTTTTTTTTTTTTTTTTTTTTTTTTTTTCATTGAAAACACTAACTAAATTCAGAGAACTAACCTTTAAAACAGTACAAACCTTTGGTAAACTTTATAATTGCAGCTTTTAACTTGAGTAAAAACTCCTCACAGATAGGCCTCATAAATTTTGAATTGCTATTGCTTGTAAGATATGTAGTCTGATGGTTCAATGTAATAAACAGCTGGTTATTACTCTTTCATTTTTGGTAGCCCCTGACCATTTTTCCATGTGCTACTGTTCCTGTTTTTAAAAGATCTTTCTCCGGTGGCCTTTGATATTTCTTTACAGAACTTGTTATTCTTTTTCTTTCTTCACCTTTTAAAGCCAATAGATACCCAGGCTATGTAGGGAACTGGGAACTGTTTCAGTAAGAAATGTGTTTTCATATTCCTTAGTGATGTATGCAGCATGGACCTCTACTACTTTCTCTCTGTCTGATAGTTTGTTCAATGACTTCACTAGATTTTTCCTTTGTAGAATTTCTTTACAAAATTTCTAGCCTTATTCATTAGATGTTAGACTCTACCTTTCTGTTTGTATGTCATCTATCCGCTAAAGAAATGTAACTTTCACTTCACAGGAAACTGCAGTTTTAGCTAGAATGAGAGAAAGATTTTTCATTCCATTAAAAGCTTTCATCCCTGACTACTTCAAGCACAGCTGGCATTCCTATACACAAATCCTAGACTGAGAATTGGACTTAAGATGCTCCAATATTTTTAAAAGTACTTGTAGATTTTATGATTCAACATCTACATTTTCAATTTTTATTTCATCTTCAAACCAGAAATAAGTGCTTTCTAAATCATAAACTCACAACTGAGATAAAGACTCTTAGCTGTTGCAATGTTGATAGCTTATAGTATTTACAGTTGAGTTGAGTTAGGTTAGCTAACTCATTTGAAATCACTGTCACATGTGAGTTTCTCATACTCAGTATGAGACCATAGCTGAGTTATCAAGGAAGCTGACGAGCAATATATGAATAGACATATTTGAAGCACTGTTTTATCCTCATCATTTCCCAATTCCATAATTAAAATAACTTGAAGGGCAATTCTTTAACTGATCACTCACTGCTCAACACTAAGTAAAGCTTCGTGGTAGTTACATCTTATGTGATATCTATGAGAACTGTATGCAAAAAGGAAGATAACATTGCATTATAATTAGCTCATCTGCTAAAATCACCAGATTTTTAAATATTTCTTTGAAAGGAACAGTAAGAAAGGCAGAATGACCCCCCTTTGTGAAACCATGCGGCAGGTAAGCATGATAATATATCTCAACACAAAATTCATTAACATATAAATTCTAGATTTAATCCAAGGCTTCAACAAACATCTGAGGGAAAACACTTCTCAAATGCACCTGTGCAACCTGAAACATCTTAGTGTGAGAAAAGTTCGGGTCTGACTGTTCAGGAATTCAGATTAAGTAGAAGCTTTGAAATAAAGATGAAACTGGTAGTTGGTGATAAGATTAACACTTTTTTTTCTTGGGTTTCATAAAATCACTACCTGACAGACATAGGTTTCCCAGAAACTCACTTTTATTATGTATCATAGCACTTTTATTTTTTAAGTGCTCATACAGGCTGTCAAAAGCAGAGCATAAAAGAACAGAGTAAGACAACAGTTCAAAAACAATATTACGAACTTTATTTGTATATCCTTATAATTTTCAACTCTTTCCTTCATAAAACTAGCAAGCATCAACTATTAGAGCAGAATTTTTCCAAGCCACTTCTTGCTACCAGATTTCTGCATATTTCAGCTAACTTAATGAAACCATTCCTGGTAGTAAAATTAGGAGAAAATGCAATAAATTATTATCTTCTCTAGATGGAGAAGATGAAACAATAGTATCAAACTATTAACAGTACCACTAGATATTGAAGCCATCTTCTCTTGTCAAATTCACCAAGATGAGAGTGTGGATTTGCTTACATTGATAATTTCATTATGACTACAGCCTATTCACCAAACACCTATTCACAGTTGAACACTTATTTCCAAGCAAAGTTCACACATCTCATGTCCAAAGCAGATGTACCCCTCCGTTCTGCGACACAGCATCTCAAGGTGCTTTTCAGGTTGTTTGTTCCTGCACAGGTGGTAGGGCATGTGCCTCTTCTAGGTGAAACCAGAGCAACAGTTTGAGAGTCATTATGTGAACTAGATGATTGAGCTGACTTGTGTTAGAAAGAAAGCATGCACAAAAAGATCAGATCTGTTGACTGACTTGCACACAGCACAGTCCCCCAACCAGCTGTAGACATACCAGGCAGATGTGAGCTGCAGTGCTGGAGTAACCAAAGGCTAGGCATAGACATGACAAAGATGCCTTAGCTTGATATTACCACTGAAACCCTGTGTATTGGAGTTGGAGTCTGTGGAAGTTGTTATCTAAACCCAGACTTGGGATAAAAACAGTGCCAGGCAGAGCGCTTAAAGAATGGTATTAATTCAACCATGTTGTATAGTCACGTATTTTGCATAATTGGTATATCAGCATCATTTCAGTTTCTTTCAATGTTTTAACAGTCAGCTTGAGCCAAAATACTGCTGGATAAACACCTCTACTCACAAGGAACATCTCAGGTGAAAACAAACAGGGTCTGCTACAGCAGAATGCTGGACAACATAATGGAGAATTTTAGTTTAAACTGCTTCTTCCTTACAGTTCCTCAATCTAAGTGTCACTCAGAGCACACACAAAAAGGCACCTGTGACCTGAATTGCAACAGAGCTGATTTCTCTCAGCTGGGTTGGCAAGTATTATTCAAATACAAAATTTTAAATATTGTGAAGAATAGCTTGTAGTTACCCAGCAGAACCTAATTTAACTGTCTGAGTTTTACTCTCAGTACTTTGGTACTGCATATATATAACATAAATAATCTTTCATTCAATCTTTGCTAAAATGAATTAAGTAACAGAAATAGGAGTTGTAAAAAGGAAGCTAATTGTTCTATACTCAATATAGACTGCAGTAAGCTGTATATAATGCATAGAACAACACGATACTGAAAAGGCTTACTCTTCATAGAACCATAAAATATTCAGACTTAAATTATGGTGTACATCACTAAATCTATTTCTCTGCAATTCCAATCAACCACATAATCTTTTCCCCAAAAGCTCAGAGTTTGATTTAAGCTTATTGGATTGCTTGCCCAGAATATGAGAAGTCATAATCTCACCATCTCCAGAATTCACAGGCCACTTTACCAGAAAACTTCTAGTGTTCAGTTTGAATTTGCACAGGGGCAGATGATACCTGTTCTCATGCTAATATTTTCAGATTCAAAGAAATATCATAGAGAAGAAGTCTCCTGCAAATCAAAAACTACAACTCATTTCCAGCACTATAATAATCAACCTCATCTAGTACACCTGTCCCCTCTGGGGCTGTACCTGGGACTTATAAGCATTGTGATCAACCACCCACTGCAGCTGTCTCCTCCACAGCTGTTTACAGTCAGCATGCTAACAACAGAAACTCTCTGAATTAGCTCTGGATGGTATTTGTACTACACACTATTCAATTTTTCCCTTATATATCCCTATTCCAGTCCTTACAGTCATCCAGTTCTTCCTGGATCTTGCAGTCTTCTTCTCTATTAAGAATAGACGTGTGTTTTGCTATTGGCAAATTTGATCATCATGTATTTTTATCTCCAGACTAATCTTTTTAATGAAGGTACTGAACAGAGTTTGTTTGAAGACATACCTCCTGAAGAGTTCCACCAGATATCTCTAGTAACAAAGCTCTTTCAGTGCTACTTGTAATCTTTCTCCCAGCTAGCTTCCTCCCTCACATTACAGTTCCCTTACTGATTAAGAGCATTGATTACCAGGTGCAGAATGCATGTTTTTTTTTTGGCAAGAGTCTTTCAGAAATAACACGCTCTTATTTAGGTAAAGACTGTCTAATAATGCATGCTTACCTAGAGACTGTCATGAGGACTTATATAAACTTAGGGATTATTTTGCAGTTTTAGTCTTCCTTAAACACTTTTTTTTTTTTTTTTTTTTCTCTCTTTCTCTCCAGGAGACAATATAAAATTAAACAGCAGAGTAAAAACACAGTTTAGATCTGACCGCACCACTTGCTTTTGACTTTCAGAGGAAAGAAAGTAGTTAGTGCAGGGACAAATACTTAGTGACATACATAAAAAAAAAAGACTGTATAGTTCTAAGGTGAAGATATGAAGTATATATCAAAATCCATGTGTGCATATAAAGAGTACTACTTTTGCACTGATCCTCAAAAAAAGCTAACAGAAGCTAGAAATAAAGATAAAAACCAGTTATAGACAAGCAACAAGGCTAACAGAGTGTGCCAGCAAGGGAAAAGAGTCATGGAAAAATCACACAAGAAAAATTTTTTGTATGACACACATATGGCAAAAGTGAAAAAAAAATAAGTCAAATTTATCAATTAAGGACTTTAGAGAACATAACTCAAAATATATTTGAAGGCTTAAATAGCTTGTTCTTTTTTTGCATAAGTACCTAATAGCAGAAGCATTCATTAAATTAAAAAAAAAAAACACAACCAAAAAACAAACAACTTGCAGATTTATTCCTTAAGCACTTAAAGACTACTTCTAGCAAATAGTTCATACGCCAGGGTGATCACACACCCTCATACAATTAACAAATGTACAATTAGAAAAGTGGTGTGGTTAGGACAGCTTTTCACAACAATCAAAACCAAAACACTCACCCACATCCTCAGCTCACAGCAGAAATCTCCAAAAAGAGGGATCTCCAGAAAGTGATCCTTCCCCCCACGGCAGTCAGCACTTAAATGGAGTCTAGGAGAGGTGCAGCCAGGCTCCATCCCTGCAGGTCAAAAATGTGAATAGCCTTCACCTGTGCTCCCATAGGTGACTCAGTCCTTGCTTCAGGTGGTCAATCAGTGGTTCAGACCATAACTCAACAGTTCCAATACAACCCTAAAAACCAGGATGCTATTGAAATTCTAATTAGATGTGCACAAGCCATTTTAACAGATGCAGTAAGTTTAATAATGAATGTTTAACGAACTGCAGAATCAGCACTACAAGCTAGGTTTTATAAATGTGCAGAACTAGGTAAATTAATTTTGTTCTTAAATGTTCTAATAAGAAAGGTAAAACTTGGTGTCTTTTAAGTCAGAGTAAGCGATATTTTCTATTTTGTTATTTCTCATATTTATCAACCGAAGTTTTTTTGTGCAACAAGCTCATTTTTCCCTGATGTGAGGCTTTATTCTGAAAACATATCTACTTTATCCTGCCCAGAACCTTAAAAAATGTTCCCTATTCCACATAAAACTGTGTAGGTACAAATGACATATTTAAGTTACGGAAAATATCCATGCAATATATTTAAACACCTTTCTTGATATCAGTTTCTCAGTTCCTCAGTTCAGATTTTTAATATAAAGACGCATTAACCATTCCAGTAAAAAAAATTCTGTAGTTTCTGCACACAGTCTGCACAGTGTGCTGCTTCATAGTTCATCACGAAGCACTTAAAAAACAACAACAAACAAACAAGTGGGATCAGAATTATATCCCAAAGTTCTTTCCACATAAGGGACCTGATAAGATTTCATGACAGTACCGTTGCATACATTACCAGGATAAATTCCAGCTACTTGGGATTTTTTTCCTAAGCTGCAATCTGACTGTAAAACAAACTATTATGAAGTCTACAGAACACATTATAGAGATTAGAGATGTTTGCTTAAGCAAAAAGTGAAAACTTGCTTTTTTTTTTCACTTAACAACATGCTTGAAGTATTGAATGTTTTATACGCAAACAAGATTTGAGGTTGAAAGACTGTTGATGAATTCCTCAATGACCATTTTCAAATTCATAGCATATACAACGTGTTTGCTTTTCTATGCTATTCCAGCCTGTATGCTTCAGCATAAATGTAGTCAACACTTTTGTTTCATGCCAATTTGCAGAGGATGAATTAATGCCATCTCAAGGATTTTTTTTTCTCCTAAGTATTCAGCTCCTAATTGATGCTCAGTGTTCTAGGCATGTCTTCTTGTAAAAGTTTTTCTTAAAATTCCTTTTGTGGATCAAAAACAAATTCTGGTTAATTACTAACTAGAAAAATTAATCAGATGTTTCTGAGTATTGGAAATTCCTAGAATTTGTATGAAAGCAAAACAGGCCTTTGTAAACACATTGTACACAAGAAGAACCACAGAATTACAGATCTACAACTGTAGGGTTTGGAAGGGACCTCCGAGATCATTTAGTTCAACCCCCCTGCTAAAGCAGGTTCCCTACAGCAAGTTACACAGGAAAGTATCCAGGTGGATTTTGATTATCTCCACAGAAGGAGACTCCACCACCTCTCTGGGCAGCTTGTTGCAGTACTCTGTCATCCTCTGTAAAAAAGTTTTTCTCATGTTCAGATGGAACTTCCACTGCTCACTTCCTGAGGATGTTGAATGAGACTAGACTAAATATCAATGCCTGGGGAATATAGTACAGGCCACCAACTGGACTGTGCTGCTGATCATAAATCTCTGAGCTTTGTCAAAGTTCTCAGTTCACCTCATTGCCCACTCACCAATTCCACACCTCGTAAGTTTACCCAAAAGGTTGTTATGGGAGACAGTGTCAAAAGCATTGCTGAAGTCAAGATAGCCAAAATCCACTGCTGTCCCCTCATGTACCCAGCCAGTTGTGACATCATGGAAGGTTACCAGACTGGCAAAGCACAATTTTTCCTTGGTGAAACCATGTTCCCCATTCCTGATAAACTTCTATTCATCGACTTGCTTGAAGATTATATCCAGAATAAGCTGCTCCATTGTCTTCCAAGGGACAGAGGTGAGGCTGACTGAAACTTCCCAGTTTCTCTTTCTTGCTCTTTTTGAAGACTGGAGTTACTCTACTCCAGTTCTCAGGCATCTCTCCCATTCCCACAACCTTTCAAAGATGATAGAGAACTGCTTGGCAATCATTTTTGCCAGCTCTCTCAGCACTCATAGGTGCTTCCCAATGAGCTCTGTGGATCTATATGCACTGAATTTGCCTCAATTATCTCTGATCAAATCCTATTTGACCAAGGGGAAGTATTCCTTATCCCAAACTCTTATGTCCAGGGCTTGGGATTCTCAAGGGACAGTCTTAGTAACAAAGAGTGAAGCAAAGGAGGGCATCTAGTGACTCTGCCTTCTCATAAGGAGATCTAAAGGTATTGGAGGAAAGAGGTGGCTTTCCCAGTATAAATCTTGTTACTGATTTATTACAAACTGAGGATGGTAGACCTCCAGTATGAACTAAGATCAGGTTTCATTGAGTGTTCCTTTAAATTTGCACAATTTGGGGTACCATTGTTGCATTAATTTGGAGCATAATTTTCATAGAAAATGAAACTGTCTCAGACTTAAGGATGATTTTTAAACAATTTAGGACCCTTATTTTAGAGCTGCTAAACCTGAGGCACAAATGCAGTATTTTAGTTTGAACCGAAAGGAAAGTAAAGGTAAACAGCATCAAAGAGATCAGTGTGGATGAAAATGTGTCACCCTCTCTCATGTAACTGAATCTAGGGCGTGGTGTAGGCTTACTCTCTTATCACAGAACCCATCCCTCAGGCTGTTTACAGTAAGGTGCAGAGCAGGCCAGGCATTTGTAACTCTTTTTAGCTCACTTCAAGACCTCTGCTACAGTTATCAGCACCTTGCATCATCAGTAACATCAAAACTAGCCAGAGTTTCTTGATGTAGCATTGATTCTCAATTCAGAAACTGGAGAAATGATAAGCAGGACCATGACTAACTCATGATTTCTGTGCTTTTCTAAGAAGCCAAAGAAATGTCTGCTTAAGAATCCTATCCTATTCTACCCAATTCTATTCTTCAGAGTAGAAAAAACTACTCTGGATTCACCTTCCATATTTATTTATTTATTTGCTTCCTTTAGCTTAATTATTTATTTATCTGCTTTAAATGATCCAGGGGAAAAAAAAATCCAAGTTTAGAATTGTCAGCAAAATCAATAATAAATTTCCTTTGATCTGTATGCTGATTTCAAAAAGTTACCTGCCTACACCTCTCTTCTTTGATGTACTTGATGTACTTTTTGTTACTGAAAACCTCAGATATTGTTTCTGTTCTGGCTATTTGTATGATTATTAATTAGAGAAATGCAGCCTATGTGTTTCTAGTCATCTGCAGATTCTTTTGTGGGCAGTAACATGCTAAGCACTCTGAAGACATGAAGAAAGCACTTGCTCCTGCCTGACCAAACTTTGTTTAAGCAGGCAAAAGGAGAAATGGGAGAGAATTTAACTAGAATTACACAACTTAAGGCAAACAATGGAATCCATATTAACTGCATTTAAATCCAACAGGCAGAGGATTGTACTGCTTTTTGCCTGTACAGGAGAAATGAAGAACTCAATCTATTCACTAACTAGAATGTATGTGGTATATTGTACTGGAATACAGGTTTGAGTTCCCTATTTTTGCCTTCTGTTTTCAGCCTGGTTTCCTAAGGAAATGAAACTTGTGCAATCACAGTGTTTGTGTATGTGTACATGCACAAGAGTTCAAGTAGTATCTTTTCAACCTGTTGGCAAATTGTAACAAGGTTTGACACATCTCAAAGATAATGTAATTCCTACAGGCCCTGTGAAAACACTGAAAAGTTGTGTATGTCAGACTGTAGCTAGGGTGAAAATATCATCAGATTCTCAAAATTTTTTGTGGTAGAAATCATGCTACTTTTGTTTTGATGTTAACAGAACAACATAGATCCCTTCAGTTAAGTTTTCACGTTTTTCTCTGTGTTAGGAATTCTGTTAATTAAAAAGACAAACAAGAACTACTTGTCCTTTCCAGATGCTACATTTAAAGAAAGGAAGAAGAAAGATGAAGCTTTGTTCATGATTTTGATTATTTATGCTAATGATGTCAGTTGTTATATTTAGACAAAGTTTGGGAGTTGTAATTGCGAAAACATCAGTGTAAGCAAGGCCTCATTAAAGCCTAGGGAGGGGAAAGACTCAAGCTCTAATGTTAGAATATACAGCTTGAGCATCTGGATCATACTGGGACTTATTTTGCTGCCTACTTGGCTTGCTCCACTTCCTAGCTGGTGAAATGCTTTGCCAAGAGCATGTGAAGGAAGCTGGAGAAATAGTACACTTACTTAATTTGAGTCCTACTGAGCAGATCAGAAGGTTTTCTTCCCTTTTTTTAAAAACAAGTATTTCAGGGAAATTTAGCTTTCCACCCTCACTAACTTGAGCAGCCTTCAAAGGATGCAATTTTCATTGTGTCATACACATTCACTCAGCATATGCATAAAATTGAAGGAAAGTGAAGACCTTTTTATATGGGAAGAGCTGAAGAATGTTTTTATTCCAGTTGCTATAGTAATTAATAGAGATAACGATTACACAATCACTGCAATTATGCATTTAAAGAGTGTGATATTTTCAAACAATAATAGTACAACTGCAATGCAAGGAAGTGCAGTAATCAAGGAAAGGTGGGAGCATAGGTCAATAGCATGCTTATGACTTATCTATTGGATTCTGATGAAATGTGATAGAGGGAGGTTGATTTTTGGTTAAGATTTTTGACATCTAAATTTGATATTTTGCTGTTCCACAGCTTTCTTTTGTGACCTTGAGTGTCTCACAGCTCAGATCCACAAAAAAATAAATAAATAAATAAATAAATAAATAGCATTAACTAGATATTATAAGCAATAGCATGCAAGTTAAGGTGCTTGGCCACAGTTTATAAATATATATGTATATATATTTTTATATATTTATATATATAAATAATTTTAAATCACTCAGATTTACAACAGGCTGCATTCTGAGCTGGGAGCAGTTTAATGTAGGTAAATAATTCCTAGTGAGAAATTCTATCTTGACTTACAACACATGAAGTACATCAGTAGTCGTTGTTGAAAGAAAGCAATT